GGTAATAACTAACAAAATGATCAGTCAGTGTACTCTTTAATATGAGCAAACAGCAGCTTTGTTAAAATACTTTCGATACTTTTCTAATTTACGTACCTGTATTACATTACAGACTTTATAGACCTTCGCTGGGCTTAGTGGCTCTCGATCTCATGTAAGGTAGGTATAGGAGAATTTTTAAGCAAAATATCACTCTTGGTAAAATACATACATCGAGTCTGCCGTCCACTGACTCATAGACTATTACTATCAGTTTATATTAAGAATTATTTTTTGTGGTTTTAAGTGTTTTAAAAGCATGTTTTTTAGTTTTTTAAACCATACTTGTATACTTGTAGTAGGTTGAAACCCATCGGAAACAAGAGATAAAATAACAAACATTTAAGTAAAAATAATTTACGGGCGATCTGAGGTCGGGAAAAGGAAGGGGAGGGGCGTGGTTGAATTTTTAAAGATTAAAAACGGCTTATTTCGATTTCAAAACTACGAATCCTGTAGAAAAAAAATATATATATTGGCAATATTGAAGGTAATGAAAAGTAGAAGAGAGCGCAAAAAAAAAGAGCCCACTAAACAGCTGAATAACGATACAAAGCAGTTTTTTTTACCTATTATTTCGTAGTAGCAGCTGTAAAAACAGAGGCTTTGAATCGTTTAGTGGGATATTTTTTCATTTTTGGAGCAAACTTACTACAGTAATGTATATATATTTAAAACCATCTGAAAGTAGAGATTTCAACAATCATAAAGCCTAATACATCAGAATGTATTGAATACCCGCTATTTTCAAGGTTGTTTACTCCAATTTTTGTTCTATTTAGTACAAAACGTTCATGAATTAATTACATTTCTTGTTTTAAATAAAATGTAAAATAATATTCGAACTAAACTAAACTAAATTTACGGTTAAAAAAAATAAATATGAAAACATCTTAACATTGTATGTATATATAGAAAAGTAAAAGTAACTCAATTTTCATTAGAATTAATTTATATATAATGGGTACATATATATTATTACATTTAATACTGCTAAATTTTGTTAATAATTTAAATTAAATTTTTGTGATTTTTTAAATTTTATCCTTATTCACAATTTGTCAAAACATTAGGTGTAATAAAAAAAAATCCATAATTTTTGCATGAAATTGAATGCTTTAATTATTTCTTTTCGTATCCAGCTGTATTTAAATGGTTCCAAACGGTTTTTTCTGCAATGTTTAGGTCCTGGACAATGATAATCGATGGGGTTTGCTCAACGTGTATTTGTTTATATTCAACACACTTCTCCTTACTCACGTTTTCACTTACTCTGAGCAACAACACAGAAAAGTCTCTGAGTATATGACATAATCCTATTGCAGTATGCTCTGAGAGTATTAATTTTTGCAATTGCTAAATCATACGCCAGTTGCCTGTATGGTTGATTTAATTCTATTATAATGTCCATCCTTTGTTCCATCGTTGCTAGAACTACTGGAATTGCGGTAGGTGATAAATTAAAAAGGGTTAAATAGGAAATACATTGTTGTGGACTGCAGACTTTTATTATCAAACTGTTATACCCTGCCCACAGTGTGAGTATGACTTAATCAATTCGCTTCTAAAGATTCATATTCACATTAATATTGGCTTCATTTTCTTTGTTATCTCCTTGAATTTCGGGTTGAAAGCTACTAGTTGGTATCCATCCTATTTTTTTGACATAAACGGCAATTCTATATCCTTAGTTTCATACGACGTTCTTCGACGTTTATTTGTAAATGTTTCTGGTAGCTCCTCGTAATCCTTCTTTGATATCTTGGTATATTGCAATTGACGTTTCCTCATTTATCTCCATGAATGAGTGAATATATTGCTTATGTAAATACGAAACAAAGTAACATCGCTCATGTTTAAATACGTTTTCTTTTATGAGAGTACATATTTCCTGAAAAATTATTTGATGATTTTCTCTAGAAGTATGCCACGATGAACCCATTTCTTGTTGTTGAGGCTTTTTTGTTACGAAATTCATTTTCAAGCATTGTCTTGAAGAACTTTTTTATTGACTTTTCTAACGTTTCTTTGTATAAATCTCAGTATGGATATCTTCCAAAAGACTTGTTTGAAATGAATCTTTATTTTTATTGTGCATGGCGACGAGTTCTGAACGGAATTTTTTACTTATATTACTTCACTTGTTGAACTTGTTCATTTTGAAGGCATATCAACCGCTTCTTCCAGCAGTGAACTTTTTTCTGCTGCTTCGAAATCAAAAATATCACTTGGTAAAACAGTATTTTGATATTTATGTTTATGAAAATTTCGTTGCTGCAAAATGTGTCGACGGTTTTTAATTGTTTCCTCAGGAAACAAAAACTCTGAATCATCATTTTCTTGGGCACAAAACACACTTCAAATTCGACAACATACTTTGTAATTCACGGGAAAAACGACTAAAATTAAATATTGCATTAATAAACATTTTATGACACATAATGATGGTCTAAAACAGCTAAGCTAATATTTGTTTATTACTTTGCAATCGGTGTTCGCATGAAGTCCTGTACTGAGCGATCTGTTGTATACATGTAAGCTGAGAAATTGGCGTCCCTATGCGGGCATACCTGTTCAAAATCTACGAAAAACATGTGACAACATAACAGTTATATTAGCGATTGCCGGACTGTTGCAACCGGAGAAAACGTCTGCTCTTTTAAGAATAAGCTAATAAAAGTATTAAAAATAAGATGTATAAAAATAAGATTTGTTAAAATATTTTTTACATGTTTTTAAATTTAAAACGTCTGCCGCGAGGTAATAACTAACAAAATGATCAGTCAGTGTACTCTTTAATATGAGCAAACAGCAGCTTTGTTAAAATACTTTCGATACTTTTCTAATTTACGTACCTGTATTACATTACAGACTTTATAGACCTTCGCTGGGCTTAGTGGCTCTCGATCTCATGTAAGGTAGGTATAGGAGAATTTTTAAGCAAAATATCACTCTTGGTAAAATACATACATCGAGTCTGCCGTCCACTGACTCATAGACTATTACTATCAGTTTATATTAAGAATTATTTTTTGTGGTTTTAAGTGTTTTAAAAGCATGTTTTTTAGTTTTTTAAACCATACTTGTATACTTGTAGTAGGTTGAAACCCATCGGAAACAAGAGATAAAATAACAAACATTTAAGTAAAAATAATTTACGGGCGATCTGAGGTCGGGAAAAGGAAGGGGAGGGGCGTGGTTGAATTTTTAAAGATTAAAAACGGCTTATTTCGATTTCAAAACTACGAATCCTGTAGAAAAAAAATATATATATTGGCAATATTGAAGGTAATGAAAAGTAGAAGAGAGCGCAAAAAAAAAGAGCCCACTAAACAGCTGAATAACGATACAAAGCAGTTTTTTTTACCTATTATTTCGTAGTAGCAGCTGTAAAAACAGAGGCTTTGAATCGTTTAGTGGGATATTTTTTCATTTTTGGAGCAAACTTACTACAGTAATGTATATATATTTAAAACCATCTGAAAGTAGAGATTTCAACAATCATAAAGCCTAATACATCAGAATGTATTGAATACCCGCTATTTTCAAGGTTGTTTACTCCAATTTTTGTTCTATTTAGTACAAAACGTTCATGAATTAATTACATTTCTTGTTTTAAATAAAATGTAAAATAATATTCGAACTAAACTAAACTAAATTTACGGTTAAAAAAAATAAATATGAAAACATCTTAACATTGTATGTATATATAGAAAAGTAAAAGTAACTCAATTTTCATTAGAATTAATTTATATATAATGGGTACATATATATTATTACATTTAATACTGCTAAATTTTGTTAATAATTTAAATTAAATTTTTGTGATTTTTTAAATTTTATCCTTATTCACAATTTGTCAAAACATTAGGTGTAATAAAAAAAATCCATAATTTTTGCATGAAATTGAATGCTTTAATTATTTCTTTTCGTATCCAGCCGTATTTAAATGGTTCCAAACGGTTTTTTCTGCAATGTTTAGGTCCTGGACAATGATAATCGATGGGGTTTGCTCAACGTGTATTTGTTTATATTCAACACACTTCTCCTTACTCACGTTTTCACTTACTCTGAGCAACAACACAGAAAAGTCTCTGAGTATATGACATAATCCTATTGCAGTATGCTCTGAGAGTATTGAGCGCATTTACTACTTTGTTTTGCTTTGTCCGATCGTTTTGTATACATAGTGACCCTTACTTACCGCCCTTATCAAACCAAATTTGTCAAAAGTTATGCCCGTAGTTGCAACGCAGATATCAGTTCTGATTTTGTTTTCATTTCGCCAATGTTGCCATTGTTCCATTTGTATACACGATTTTTCACACATTTAGTTTTTTAGTTTTAATTTTTCATAATGTAAAAGCTCAAAACTAAAATCAAATTATTAAAAATAGTTTACCTATTTATAAATCAGTGTATTCGACTGTGATTTTAAGTTATTTTAAGAATATTTCAAATATATGCAAGCTATAACTTGAGTAAAAATTTAGATATCTTTATGAAGATTGGTACACATGTTTCTTGGTACCGTAAGATGGTTGGTATTACAAATGGGCCCACAATGGGCGTTGCGCCGCCCACTTTTAGGTGAAAACCCACATCTGCTTAACCAATTTCAAAAAAATTCAGTACATAACATTCTTCTCATATTTCTATGTTATAGTGCGAAAATGGACGAAATTGAATTACAACCACGCCTACTTCCCAGATAACACCGTTTTAAATTCCATCTGATTCTTTTACACTCCACTATGCAAATGAAGCAAAATATATAAAGAAATCTCAAACGAGTATACCCGTTTGGCTTTGCGAGAGTATAACATGTTCGGTTACATCCGAACTTAGCGTTTCCTTGCTTATTACTTTAATGTTGGTCTTCGTTTCCGATGACTTTCAACGTACTTTTACTTTACAATTACTTTTTTATCAGTATCAAAGGCATCTCCACTAATCTATAATTATATATATATTTTTTTTTATTATTATAATAAAAGCGTTATAAAAATGATCATAATGGAGAATAACAACATTTACAGGTATTTAATCAGTGCTTTCAACAGTATTATTGTAATAATGAAAAATTAAAAATCTTTGAAAGATCAAACTTATCAGGTAGTTGGGTTAACTCCTCGTAAATGTAGCTATCTTTCTAGTTAGTTATTGAAATCAAGATAGAAAATCTTATCTTATATGGTCGCATCACACTGATGCTAGCCTCCAAAATCGAATTATGTTACTTGACTTCGAATTTTCGAATTACCACCCCAATTGTGAAGGACTAATGGATAATAGTTTAAATAATAAATATTATTTGAATCGGCTACTATATTCGTTCTATTAAAAATATATTAATTATAGTATGAAACTTGGTAAAAAAAATTAAGGTACCAATTTTTGAATACAGTTGTGAATGTGATTAAGCGTCTCCTGTATCTTCTTATGAGGACTTTTATACATGTATAAAACTATAAATTAAAGGAGTACGTTTCAACAAAATAGCTATTTTATAACCGCCATTAACTTATATATGCACATAGCATGCATCATTTAGGATATGGTTGAACTTATGATTAACAGAACACTTATGGTGCAGATAAAATAATAAATAATGATTCAAAAAATTTCTTAATTAAATTTCCAAATTATAATTTTTTTCGCTTTTTTTTCTTTAAAAGATTTATACAGAAAGTATAAAAATTCTCATACCAAGAAAAGGAACGCATAATAACATTACATATTTAGTTTGGTCCAATACCAAGAAAAAAAGTATTATATTTGACCTGTACCCAATATTGATAATTGATTGATAACCTTGTTACCATTGTTGTTGTGACGCTACCAACAATCATTCATTAAACAATTATAACAACAATAACGTAATTCTAAAAAAAGTATTAACAATTTAATGTGATAAAATTTTTAAAAGTTATGAAAATTTTACCCTTTTTCGAAATCCCATGTAAGCTCCGACGAAAGTCAATGGCACTGATACTCCAAACCAGAGGCCAAGCAAAGCAACAAGTGTACTGAATGGAACCGCGCCTGAACTACCTTCGTGCCAAAGGACTAAATTCATTACGAAAAAAAGCCCAAATACAATCCTAATAAACAAATAAAATTATACACAGAATAAACTTTAAATAATCGTCTTACCCAGGAGATACAACGGAAGTGAGAATTACATTGCTTTTCCATTTAACTCCCCCAAAACTTTTGTAAATTCGCGATGATACATATCCTGCCGGTGTGCCAAATGAAACAAATAAAACCATCGAGCAAGTCATTAATGCTCCCCGATTTGCTGGAGAAAGAAAACCTAAGCAAGCAAATGCCAATGTAATTACAGTCATGCAAGTTACTTGCACACCGGATCCGAGAAAAATTGACAAAAGCATGCCCTTCCTTGGTGGCCTAAATACATCACCATGTACTAATTTCCAACCAAATTCTTCCTGCGCATCTTCTCCACTATCCATTTGATTATAGCGTGCAATATCCTTATGTAGTGTTCGTAGCATAATCATGGCCACCATTCCTGACAAAAATAGTACAATAATAAGAGAGTTGAGGATAGAGAACCATTGGATATTAGTGTGTGGCATTGATTCTAGTATGTAATCCCAGCGTGATGACCATTTAACTGAATTATCCATATTAAATTGAACGCTATATGTATAAGAAATTGACAGGTGCTCTCCTCGAATTGGTGAATTGCTTTTTAAAGCAAGTGGATCGGTATTATCACAGTCTATCTTTGAAGAGCTTATGTGATTAATCGAACGAGGTATAACTTTAACAGAAATAATACGGCCCCCATTTCCATGAAATCCAACGCCTTCTTCAGGTTGTCCGCTATGATAGGTAATTCGCAGATCTACATGATTAAAAATGTAATAAAATCCACGTCTATTATAATTTGGATTAACAAGACAGGCTTCATCGCTATCCGGTCGGACAAAACAACCCATGGGGAATCCTGTGCTACAGTATTGTTTGTCATTATCCAACGGATAACACCAAGTCACAGGCATATTATCAACAATCCAATGATGTTGATAATTTAAACTTATCCCTTTTTTAAGCACCATGATGCGATGATCACTTTCTGGATTGTCGCCAGTATAGTTTTTAGTACATACCTGAAAAAATTTATTAGATGATGAGACTATTTGTGAATATTTCCTTAAGAAATTAGAGCATTATTAGTTACTAGTACGTTTAAATGCTTAGCATGTAAAAAGGTGCTAAGTTCGGGTGCAACAAAAAATTTTTATTCCAGCAGTTTTTAAGAATCAAAGGTAAAGAAATAATTTCAGGCATTGACAAAACTTAATATTATTGAGATCTGTGATCGAGTTAGGTTTATTTCCGTTACGGAATTTCTTGATTCGGTCGCCGCGCTCAAAGTCCGCGATAAAAGCTATGCAATAGCTGAATAAAATGTATGTATATAGAGTACTTACTCATTTTCTTTCACTATTTGTTCATCATTTTCTTCATTAATAAATGCACTTTGTTTATTCATATTTAAAACACTTTATACACAAATTTTACGCGTACTCTCTGAACATGCGTTTGCTTAGAAGCGTCTTTTCGCGACGATGGCAAAAGCTAAAAATTATAAATTGAATAACTTTTTTATGTTCCTTCTGGAAGGGACAAGTGTCAACTCCGCGAACACAGAAAAAAAAATGACATAAACATATTTACGTACATATGTTGCATGTAGACAGACACACAATACAAACATTATGCGTGTTAGGTTTATTTTCGTTACGGAATTTCTTGACTCGGTCGCCGCACTCAAAACCCGCAATAAAAGCTTTGCAATAGCTTAATATTAATTTGACTAATACTAATATTGTATAATTTATTTTAATTAATTACATTTTTATTAAATTCCATATCTTTATTTGCCATTAAAACAAATGTATCTTAAATATTATTATTTTTGAATCACCCTGCTGTCAATTCAATTGATTTGTTCCGCTTGAGATATACAAAAAATACGCCTAAAATTATGCAAAAAAATTTGCGCATACTTTGTGATCGTGTTAGGTTTATTTCCGTTACGGAATTTCTTGAGTCGCCGCGCTCAAAGCCCGCGATAGAAGCTATGTAATAGTTTAAAAAAAGTGATTGAGAGAATCATAGCATGAAAATAAAAATTTTTACGTAAAATACTTTGTTTTCAATATTTATTGAGAGTAAAGTAAGTATTGGGATTGTTATCAAACTGTTGTTTGCACCTGATATACCAAAAATTAAATTAATAGGAATATAGTAATACAAAATGGTATATTATATTTAGCGTTTGAGAATATCATAACATAAGTATAAAAATTGAACGCAAAATACTTTATTTTCAATATTTATTGAGAGTAAGGTAAGTGTTGGGATTGTTATCAAACAACTATCATTTTATATACCAAACGCAAAAGATATAGAAATAGAAGTATATAATACAAAAAACAACAAGAAAAAAAGTTAACCTTGGTTGCACCGAAGCTATAAAATCCTTCACAGAACTTGATTCCGACTGTTCAATTTGTAAGGTAGCTATATGATATAGTAATCTTATCTGAACAATTTCTTCGGAGATTGCATTATTGCTATAGACAATAGCCAACGCCAAACTTCGTGAATATATCACGTCAAATGAAGAAGTTTTCCATGCAAGCCCTTAACTCCGTACGTTCAGTTTGTTTGGCAGCTATATGCTATAGTGATCTGATCTATACAATTTCTTCGGAAATTACATTGTTATCTTAAATAATAATCCATGCCAAATTTCGTGAAGATACCTCGTCAAATGAAAAGTTTTCCATGCAAGCACTTTACTCCGATCGTTCAGTTAATGTGGCAAGCACTTGATTTCGTTCGTTCAGTTTGTATGGCAGCTATATGCTATAGTGGTCCGATATCGGTCGTTCCGTTAAATGACCAGCTTCTTATGAGAAAAGGACAGGTGTAACATTTTGGGATCGATAGCTTAAAAACTGAGGGACTAGTTCGCGTATATACAGAGCGACGGACAGACGGGCATGGCTAAATCAACTCAGCTCATCAGGGAGATCATTTATGTAAATATTTTATAGGGTTTCCAACGTTTCCTTCTGGGTGTTACAAACTTTGTGGCAAATTAAATATACCCTATTCAGAGTACAAAAAGTGAATAAGAGAAACATAACATGAAAATAAAAATTTGAACGCAAAATAAATACTTTGTTTTTATTGTTTATTGAGAGTAAGGTAAGTGCTGGGATTGTTTGAAAAAATATAATAATATTTAATATACCAAAAGTAAAATTAATAGAAATATAGTAAAACAAAATGGTATATTATATTATTATCCGTTCACAGTTTGACGAAAATCGTATTGCGGTGATTGATTTACAAAAGTATGGAAAAAGCGCAGGAGAAATTTATGAAATTATCAAAAAACTTAATATAATATTTCGAGAATGTTTGTTTACCGCACTATATATCGTTTTTGCCCAAACTACTTCTACACTTGATGATAGAAAGAGAAATTCGATTCGAGCAGCGTCGTCAACACCAATAGGATCACACACTGAGCGATATATTCGACAAAAAGTTTGCTAGAATAACGAAAATCATTAAATGTAATGTATGAGAGCGGGGTTATTCGTGGACTGATTTCACAGATTGTCGGAAACCATAGTACAAGTATATCCTATATTATACGTCCAATTAATTTTGCTAAGATATCTCACATAGAGACTGATTTAAACGGAAGTATATATCGGAAAGTTTCAAATTCTTATCTTAGATATTATATATGGGGGCTAGGGGTAGTATTAATGCGAGTTTATCCATTTTTATACCAGGGCAAATAAAAAATGCTCTCTTAGTTTCATTCAGCCTCACAGATTAACCGATATATAATATATGGAATATAGCCAACCGGATGTTTGAAAATCCTTATAATAGGTAAAGTGTGATCCATTTCGAAGTTCCCTACTTTTTTAAAGAAAAAAACACAGAAAATTCAAATTTAATGCAAAATGTTTATTATCAATTGAAAGAATAATCTTTGGCATTTATTTTTCGAAGATTATCTCTTTCAAATGTTGGCCGCGGCTACGTCTCAGATGGTTGGTCCGTTGAGTGCAATTTTCAATGACTCGTTCGAGCATTTCGAATGGTAACTGGCGAATGACACGAGTGATGTTTTGTTCCAAGGCCTAAATCGAAGCGGGATTGTCCGCATAGACTTTAGACTTTACATATCCCCACAGGAAAAAGTCTAATGGTGTGATGTCACACGATCTTGGTGGCCAATCTGCTCACCGAAGTGTTCTCCCAATAAATTGTACACTCTCAGCTACGGCCGCTATATTTTTTTCACTGCGTGCTTGACGTAATTTATTCGGTCGAATATTATCCAATAATGAATGCTGGATCTCAAAATGGGTGATGGGGTTGCGAATAGTATGCGCCGTATGCCGTATGTTGACCATAAGTTCAGCGAAGCGTGCGAAACACATTATTTACAACTCTTAAACGATATTCAGGCGTAAGTCATTCCATGATAAAATGTCAAGATGTCATGTTTTTATTGAAAAAAGTACCTCTACTTGGATCACCCGTTTGAAAGCTGGGGGAAGTATGCACCCAATTGTATCTATTTTAAGCACACATAGTATACCGACGCTCTTTTAATTTCATTAGAATAACTTACATTTTGACCCATATACCCATATAGTATAAAGTCAACCGGTAGTTGTAAAACCTATATGTATATTAGGCATATGGGGGCAAAGTTAAATATTCATTATCATCAGAAATATTATCTTAGAATTGCAAAAATATACCTTACAGATACCGCGATATTTTCGGCGAAAAGTCAGAAATACATACTGTGGTCGACATATTTAATATCTGGTGGCTTAAAATATTGGGGTCCAATTTTGACAACTTTTAGACGTGAATTTGATTATCTCGAAGAAACTATTTTTGCAATGTTTTATTCCTGGACACTAGAGAAAGAGAGAACCAGATGGTATTGGTTTATTATCTAACTTAAGTTTGAGAGATACGTACATAAAACTTACTAGGGACGGAGCTACACCCACTTTTTACAAATTTTCAAACCACAAACGCCCCTCAATACCGATACCGATCTTCTTATGGTGCCAAGGAACCCGTACATTAAACTTACTAGAGGCGGAGCTACACCCACTTTTTACAAATTTTCAAATCACAAACGCCCCTCAATACTGATACCGATCTTCTTATGGTGCCAAGGAACACGTATATAAAATTTTAGCATGATATCTTAATTTTCTTCAAATTACACCTTGCAAGGACGGACAGACTGAGCTACCCGGATTTGAACACGTCTCGTTATCCTGTTCATTTTTATACATACACTAGGTAGAAAAAGTCTCCACTCACTGGGTACAAAATCTTTTGAACTAAAATAAAAGTTTGACCAATTAAGAAATTTTGTTTTGTGTCATTAAATCATATCTTTTCGCTTAAAAAAATTTACTTTTTTTTTCAAATTATTCAATAAACAAAAACCACAGAGTTTATTTTCATTTTAAAAACAATTAACTTAAACAGAAAAAGTCGCCCCACATCAACCAGGACACAATTATATTAAGTAATTATAAAATCTTTAATAGCTGTTGGGGTAGCCTCGAAATTTTAGAGCTTCTGCTAGACGTTTAGGCATGGAATGTACTAATTTTCTCGTATCTTGAGCTGACATTTTACTTCATTCGTCCAATATAACGGTCTTGAGCATTTCTTTGCTGGTAATCGTATGTGTACGAATTCCGCGCTCCAATAGGGTCCATAAATGCTCAATTGGATTGAGGTCAGGTGATTGTGGAGGTAAATGTAGCTGTTTTGTTGCATTGTAAAGAAGCCAAAGGCGAACAAGTTCCGCTGTATGCTTAGGGTCATTGTTCTATTGGAAACAAAACATGTTTGGCAATCCTAATTTGTCAGCATTTTGCTTCATTTTTCGTTAAAAATATTTAGATAAACAAATTTATTCATTATATTTTCGATAAACTCAATGCCACCAACTCCACTTGCTGCCATACACCCCTTTAATTGAACTCCACCCCCACCATGCTTTACGGTCGAAGAAAGATTTCGCGAT